AAAAGGGCAAGTATATTTACGTAGGTCTGAAATTACAGAGGGGAATGCAGGTACGTTTAATATCCATAAGCTCCACTCACAGGCTCGCCCCACTTTTAGTCAAATCATGCCCCCACTAGACTTCTGAAAACAGGAGGCAAGGGGTAGTGACACCAAAAGATAAGGGAATTATCTTTTGCTTCCCTTCTGCTTCCTTTCTTCCCCCTTCATAATTTAAATACTATAGTTATGAAAGTACCTGCAAACAAATAGGAAATTCCTGCCTCCATTGCTTATTCAGGTCTGAGAGAATTTCTTGCCATTTGTGAATGTCAAGTGGAGCAGCACATTAATAAGAGCCAGAGCTCCAAGATATGTCAGAAGCCCCCCAGGGATAATCGGTGGTATTTGGTGTTGCTTCGGTGCTCTTTACTGTAGCATCCTGATACACTGCAGACACCTCCTGACTCTTCTTGGATACTTGCTTTTTAAATGAAGGAGACTGGAGAAAGGTAGATTTCATAGGCAATCACCTCCTGAACTATATAGTGCAAGGGCTATCTGAGCAGTTTGGCATACTTTCTTCGGAGGAGCATTGACACAAACCTTAGCATTCTGTAAGATATGTAGGGACATCAGTACCAATGATAATATTCCATACATATGGTTTGCATTGTCCCTCTTTTGTTTACTTTGTCTTTTCAGTTGTGAAATCGATATGAATATAAGTCAGCTCACCAAGCAAAATGTAAGAGAATATGGTTTTAAATTTTCATCCCAAAATCCATTTTGTCACTGATGAGTCATTTTAATGAAAACTGAAATAACAGTTCAATGAGCTCACAAATTAAAATGTTAGGGACCTATTGTATTTATTATTTTATTAAAATATCAGCACAGCACAACATGTAGTGAGTAAATTGGTAAAGTTTCCCCTCCTTATGCCATACCTTCTAAAAACATAGCTTTTGAACATGGCAAGAAAGTCCCATGCCATCAGTAACACGTTTTGACTTTTAGAATAGAGCCGCAATACACGAAACTTCTTTTTCCTCATTTTTGCCTACCTACTGCAGCTATCCTGCTGTCCTTCTCTGGGTTTGTGACTTTTTTTGTACCAGCAATACTTTAATGTCTTTGAAAGCTGCTTAACAGGCAGTTATACAACAGGTGCAGCCAGGACCAGCATGGAGAAGCATACTGGTTTCAAAATGCATAGGAGCCCAACTAGAACAAATGACGTCAACTATGTTGTTCTGCACAGAAGGAAAAATGATGCATCCCAGCCTCTGCAAAACTGATAAGCTCAATCTTGCAGGGAGGCCATGAAGCTGAGGATGTATACACTGTTACACATTCCACGTATATCTTCCTATCCTATGGAAAGGAGCAATCTCTGGGAAACCAGCATGAATAAGAAATCCACAGATGAATTCGTAGTTACTTGAGAATGTTGCCCAGTAGCTCACAGAAAAGGGCACAGGAAAAGGCACTTACATTCCCCTTGTCAGAAACTGAAGCAGGACACAGTTCCTTCAGATGATGTGAATGTGAAGGGCAGCATGGTTCATCCTGCAAATGCCTGCAGGACCAGGATCAGACCTGTATGTGCTTGCAAGGATTGGATCCTTATAACCATACAGCACAGTACACATGGGCATTTGTGGGGGCTGCATTTGTGTCTGTATGTTGCCTTTCCCTCTGAACCTCTTGCCATTCTTCTCCAAAACCTCTGGTCCTGGTGTTCTAGCCATAGACACCAGCTGCCTATGACCCAGGGTGGACATTCCTCATCAGCTTATTTTAATGGTGCTCTAGAAGACATAATAGTCTTCAACAGGCACAAATGGATAATTGCAGCCATAAAGAAAGGGCAACTTTCTCTACCATTCTAGCAGTGCTTGGCTTGAGAACATGCAGCATGGAGGGGCCCATATCTTAGTAATAGCTGTTCCATAGTGAAAGCGATTGTGTTCAGTAGAGATCCATTTCAGCCATTTTCAGTAACCACATGGTGGGGAGGGCTCCCTGTGTGTGGTGGCATTTGCTGAACCAAAGCCAGTCAAGCTTTGTTGCAACTGCCTTAAAAACTTTCTCTCATGCTTGAGAGATTACACACTTTCAAAGCCTTCAAAATTCAACACACCTGCAACTGAATTTGTCAAGATGATTCCTGCAAACTAAAAGTTCATTTTGCTCTCTCTTCAAGCACATTCTAAGCTCTTTGCCCAGCCAGGATGCTGGCTTTGTGTAAAATATGTGCACAAAGCTACTGAAGTAAACAGAAAGAAATGACAGCATGTCAAGGTGAGCTGGCAGTCACAAAGCACTCTTGCTTAGCAACAGATAGCTGAACAGCTGGATTTGACAGTCATGCTTTGCCTTGGTTTCAGTCTCAGGGGCCCCAGCTTGTTCAGCAGTTCTCGTCATTCATATGTGAAAAGAATAAATCTCCATAAGTCATCTGAAGGAATGAACTCATCCACAGCTAATAGAAACTTACTCTCATTTAAAAAATATTCTAGTTTTTCTATTAGCATATATTAATCTATATGCACAACAGATTGTTTCTTCAGCAGAAGGCTGTGGAGCAAGAAAGGTATTACTTTGCATGTTCTATTGCCTTTTGAGGCTTTTGCTCCCACTTCTTGCACTATGCCATGAGAAACAAGCGGGCTTTACTTAGATGGGATGGACAGCAAAGGGAAAACAGGGTTTGCTATCAAGTCTAATTATAGAGTGTTATCTTTAAGCAATGCATAGGTATGTAGGATAAATCTGACATTGATTCTTTACAGGGAAGGAAAGTTCATTTGAAATGAAAATAATGCTTATGGAAGAAGATGCCTATAAATGACTACAGACTATATTGGTGAGAGGCATCTCTAATTTCCAGGTGCTGCAGACAAACAGCAGGAGGGTCCATATTCAGCATTTGAGAAACAGAATGCTAGGTCAGATGGATCTTGGAGCAATAGGACATATATTCATGTGTGATTCACTGCCATATGGATTTTTACATAATGGTGGATTAAAGAACATCCCATCTCTGTATGTTTCAATCCCAACCCCCCCAGGCTGCACTCTAAACCTCCTTTTCAAAGGGACCTAGAGCTTTGATACCTATTTGTCAAAGCTCGCTTTCCTTTGAAAACAGGCAGGCACAGATTTGCACTTTGCTAAGCACCCAGTATAGCCTTTCTTAACCAAAGGTTCCCTGGAATTCTAGGGTTCTACTAAAGGTCTCTGGGGGTTCCCATCTTAGAAATATAAACATTGTACTTTCACATTCATGTGTGTGTGTTTATAAAACAGACACATGAGGAGCCCTTCCGCTTGCTCCAGTTGCCTAGGAGACGGGAGGTTGCCCAGGGAGAATCCCCATTCATGAGGAAAGGGGCCAGGGTGAGAAGTGCATCCACCTCAGTCTTGTGGGGAGCAGTGTGGTGGTCATTCCAAGTGGCCAGCATTAAACTACCAACAACAGCATTTATTTCACAATCTCCTTTCATCACACACACTCTGCACAATTTACAGATGGATGTTGGCCACTGAGTTGAAGAGGTAAGAAATGGGGTGGCATGGCATATTAATAAAAGAGATAACAACACTAATATAAATAAAATTAAATTTCATGGTAATTCTGAGTGCATGTGCACTCAGGGGTTAATGACAATAATGCTGCTGCTGATGTATAATAATAATTATGCAGAAAATAAATGCAGGGTTTCCTGGAGACATGAAAACTATTTCAAAGGTTCCCTTAGAGGAAAAAGAGCTAGTAACTGATTATTTCTTTTTTACTTCCCCCATCTCCTTTCCCCTTTTTACTGTGTCTAGATCATGAGCCATAATGGTATAGATCCACCCACTTGTACACTCTGCATACTACACATGTTTCACAAGTAACTGACTGTGAACATTCATGATAGTTTGTTAAAGCACTACCATTTGGAATATGCGAGCAACCTCTAGCTCTCTGATAAGGCTCACCCAGGGAGCAGCTTTCTGATCTCCCAGTTCATCACTGTATCATGAAATGAGGAGCCTGAAGAGAGCTTCAGGGAGAGGAAGGTGCCTTTTCCACAAGAACCTAAAATGAGAGGAGCAGGGAATCCAAGCAAATCACATCATCAACACTGACTAGCAGGAATCTGCACAAGCTGAGGTCATCCCCAGAGCCGGACTGTGTCATTTGGAAACTAAAAATATTGTGTTTGATCCCTGTTTACATGGATCCTACCTCTACCACATTTCACTAGCAAGTCAAACTGCTGTTTGATGAGGCATTTTATTTCTAGATAAAATAAGTAGTAACAAACTGTAGTGATATTCTACCCAAAGGGTTTACCGAAAGGATAAGGCTATCCATGGACACAGTCCTGAATGGACTAATATTACAGGCAGTAAGCCTGTACATTTAAAGCATTACCTTTACATTTAAATGCTTTACCAACCTATTAAATGTAGCTAACACTAAAATCACAGTTAATCATCTAAAAACAAGCTAGGGTGAGAAATTAAATCCTCCATCCCATTCCCCAAATCAACAGAAATGAATAGAAATAGAAACAGAAATTCTTTACTTGCCAGTACATTCTCTGCAAGTGAAGAAAACCAGCTAGCTCTGAGGAAGGCCTTGCCTCTGAGGCTAAGAAAGCAGACTCAGACTAAACTTCCTGGAGGTGACAGGACCTCCCTGGAAGTCTCCAGTTCATGTTTCCAACAAATGAGATGGTTCTCTTCAGAGGCTGCTGCACTGACAGAAACCTTCCAAAACATACAGCCTGCAGAGGAAGGGGACAAACACTCCCAGCCCAACTAATTGCCCTGAAGGAGGCTGGATGCAAAGATAATACAGAATATTGTATGGAGCACATGCGTTTTGACTGCAATCATTTTAAAATCAAGTTTTCATTTTTTTCTAACACAGACAGTATATTTTTCTACCAGAATTTCTTTATTTCTCATCAGATTTTTACAAAACAGAAAACTAATTCAGCATACAATATCAAACTTACTATTTTCCACTGGATCAGACATACTAAGTCCGCCTGCTGTATCACTGCCTCTTTGGTCACTGGGCCCTATGGATAGATAGTCCAATGTGGTGACTGCTTGAGACTTAATCAGATGTTCTTCAGTCTGAGAATCAGATTCCTTATTTGAAGCAATAAAGACAAGCAGTTAGATCATAACATAGTTGCAACATGACATATTCTAACTAGGATACAACTGGAATCTTCTAATATTGTTTTAATAAGAACTGTTACATGGTTGTAAATCACATATTAAATCTAGCTCTCATCACAGTGTATTATAGGAAGCAAACCAATGAACTTGGAAAAATTATTGACTTCATAAAACCCAATTTTGTTGATCAGCAATAAACGAACATGTATCATTTCCTTGGAAGACTGCTTAAAGGAAAATAAGCATTCATTTAGGGAGAAATATGCTGGGGCTGTTTGGACGACACAAGCAGCTGTGGTCTCCATTTTGAACATGCAACCCCCACAGGGCAGGGTCTGTCATGTCAGGTGAACCAAGAGTGTGTGGCTTATGTGAGGGTAAAACAACCCACGGCCTGCTTTAACCCTTCTTTATCCCATGCATAATCACAATGCTTACTGGTTTCATATATGCAATCTGGTACCCACAGGCACCAACAAGCTCTTATTTATTACATATTTACAAAGCCATTATCCTCAGGATAATCTAACTCTGTGAATAAGGGTAAGGAAGAACTTCAGCTGATTCATAACCAAAGTTCTTCTATACAGAAGAAAGTAGAAGAGAATTATCCTTTCATACAATGACCTCAGAATCACAGGGTGCACTAGAGTGGAACACTCCACACTATATGCAAAAATCTGTGTACAGCAAGAAACATTCATGAGCCATTTGATCCTACTTCTGGCTATAGTTTCTCGTAGTGCAAGAAGAAATGTGCTCTACAAGTCTTAGGCTTGGCAGATATTTTAAAGGAACACAAAATATTCTGGGTTTTGTGAACCTGCATGATACCTAGTAAAAAACCCTGTAGACTAGGTACAAAGCAGACAGTGCACATGAACAAGACCAAAGAATAGAAAGATGAACAATTCTGTCCACATATCATAAAGATACTGACAAGGCTAGTGCAAGTTTTCTGTTTACCCTTCTTCTGCTGGGCATAGTTTTAAATTTCAGGGGTACATTGCTTGGAGTTCTGTTCCAATCTCCAGCTTACTGCTTGGACTACTGGATACTTTGTTATACAGTAGAATGTAGAAACATAAGGCAACTTTAGACAGAGATGGGAAATAGTGTAAAAGTTGACTGTCTGGATTTTAGAAAAACAAGGGATAGAATCTGTCCTTACATGAAGTACATCTATATTAACTTGGTGAAAGTTACGGGATCTAAGCTCTTGCATTCTTTTGAGATTTTCTTGATATTTTTCTTCCGCCAGCTGTCTGAAAAGAAAGACAGTATAAATGGTAAATAGGATATGTAATTTGAAGTGACATCCTTTAGCATTTGTCATGCAAGCAATTGAAATACAATTGCTATAAGGAATAAATGCTTCTTCTTTGTACGAAGGTTGTATTTTCAACCACAGGACTTGATACTTTGCCACTTCAATGGAATGGAAAAACTTGCACAATCTGATTGCCTTCATATACTTAACATAAACTGAAATGAGTTCTTGGTTTGGCATGACAAATGTGCATTACTAATTCTGTTAGTCATAAGCAATTCATTATACCCAGACAAAATGATAAAGGGATGGACAATAAGAACTGAAGGGATCTGGTGAACGGGGGATGCTTGTATCTCTTCTCATGAGGGTTGGGAGAACCTTCTGTGAAGGGTGAGCTGTGTTGCAGGAGGCTGCTGAGAGTGAAAGAGAGAATTAAGAGGGAGGGAAAATTCCCTTCCATTGCAAGCTCTTCTTAGGATTCTACCCCAAGTAAATACTTCTTAACAGAGTAGGCTTTGAGTAAGTTCTAAGAAGACACTAATAAATTCTTATGCACAAAAGTTCTATTTTTTCCCTTCTACCACAAATTCAACTTCTTTGCATTATTAAAAAAGTAAACTAATAACCTAATATACTTTGGGTGTAAGAAGAAACCTTGGTTTAGATGGAGGCAGAGAATAAAAGCACAATTTAGCAACATCGTAGTTTGACAAAGGTGGCAAATAATGTTGCTATAAGAGCAAACAAATGATCACTCCAATAACTGGTCAGGGTGTCAGAAGATCAGAAATACCAAAGAAACCTTAAGAAAATTTAGCACCGGAAGTTGGACAATGCTTTGCTTGACCTCTGCATTCCAGTCCTCCAGAAACAGAATGTAAAATTGGACTCTTTTCTGTGCTTCCAGGTATGCCTAAAATACCCATTCTCTGTGCTCATAGCCATTAGGAAAGGATGATATGATACTGAAGACAGCAAACTAGTCCTTTCTGGAAACAAGTTCAGTGTTTTTTATGTGAACATACACATCATCATTTAGAGGCTAAATGTAATATTTTGCTTTTTACTTTAACTTCTGTCCTGCTTCATCAGCAATATGTAATTTCCGCAGCCTCATTCGTTCACGTGGTGTCATTTTTTGCACTTCAGATAGGGCTTTTAGAGTTTGGAGGTGTATCTTTTTCTGCCTAAACATCAAGACAGAAAAAACAGGTGAGATACTAGTGGACCGTTGCACTTCCTTGGAAAAATACAAATATACAGGTCAGGAACCAAATTTCATTTCCCCTTAAGTATACTTCTATTTATAATGAAATATAAAAAAATGAAACCTGTTCATCAACAGAATAAAGAAAAATCTCAACAGCTGGAAAGATGCAATTAAAATGCCCAGAACATTAACATAAGAGAAAATTCTACTTTCATTAACTTTTAATTCCATACTTCATTTATAATTGAATTATGTACACTATGACCTTTGAACTCACTTCAGTTGACATGGATCATATTAATTATTTCCTTGAAAAAGAACAAAGGGATGCTCTTGGTGCTTTAATAATAACATTAGAAATTAAAAGGCATGTTGATTACATGAGCTTATCTGACCTCATTATCCAGAATACCACAAAGAAACATTCTAGCCTGCATTTAAAGTGAAACCTATTGACTATGAAGTGCATACTGCAGTATTTGCTAATTGCTTTTAAGGATATAATACAGACATTAGTAAATCCTCAATGTGAGAGTTAGTATTAGATGTGTCAGGGCTCTTTACCCAAAAAAGACGTCTCTTTTGAAAAGTCTTCATTCTAAAAAAATCTTCTGCCTCCATCCTATCTGAGAATACTGCAGCTCCACTGAATCCTACCACAATAATGTATCAATTGTTCTGAGTACTTGGAAACTATCAACATTTTTCCAGAAACACTGATCTGAAGGAAGCATCTGCATTACCCATATCATACGAGTAAGAAATGCTCATTTATTATTCCGTCTCCTTGTCACTCAACAATACCTTGTTTGTTTTAGTTCTTAATTTGTGTTCCACTCACCTAAGAATGAAAGACCACTCAAGGCAGCTAACAATAATAAAATATGAAATCCAATAAAATGACAATGAAAGATAAACTAAAACAAGGTCTGAAAAACAACAATGCAATCAATAAAAACAACCAATTAAGTAAATTTCAACACATTTACAAATCAGCATCAAATCCAAAGGTAAATTTTGAATTTTCGAGCATGAGCAATGTTGATCTCAGTAAGGCTGCTGGGCCTTACCATAAATACCCAGGTAGGCTTGTTAACACGCCTTCTCTAATCACTGTTCTCAACTGAAAGGTTTAGTTCATAAACACAGAGGATGCCAAATGAAGCATTTTTCCTTCTTATTTTGTTGTTGTAACTTTTTCAAATATATTACAGAAGTACTAGTATATAAACTATGTAACATGAATTCCTATCTCCCTGCTCCCCTAAAATATGCCATGTTTCCATGTTAAGTTCCAAAAAAGTTCCAACAACAGTGAAGTTCATGAGTTGGATTTTGGAATGTTGTGATTATTGAACACTGTTGTCAATTGTTGCAGATGATACCATAGTGGGAGTGGTGACCACAACCGAGGAGCAGGTGATCCAGATCCAGAAGGATCTAGGTAGGCTGTGGCAGTGGGCGGAGGACAATAGGATGGCATTCTATGTGAATAAGTGCAAGGTCTTGCCCTTGGGACACAGGAACAGGTGTCACAGGTACAGGATGGGGGACAAGTGGCTGGAGAGCAGCACTTGTGAAAGGGATCTCAGGGTACTTGTTGACAGCAGAGTGAACGTGAACCAGCAGTGTGACATGATGGTTAAGAAGGCAAATGCCATCCTTAGATGTATGGCCAGAAACGTGGCTTCCAGATCTAGGGGGTTGTTGATACCACTGTATACGACTCTGGTGCACCCACAACTGCAGTACTGTATCCAGTTCTGGGCTCCACATTATAGGAGAGACGTAGCTAGGTTAGAATCAGTTCAGCACAAGAATAGTAGCCAAGTTGGGAGGGATGACATGAAGAGAGATTGAGCGAACTGGGACTTTTCAGCCTGAAGATGAGAAGACTCTGAGGGGATCTTTTAGTGGCTTATAGGTATGTGAGGGGAGAGAGGCCTGTGGCATGTTCTTCCCTGCAGTGGAGGGCAGGAAGCATTCCAATGGGGCAAAGCTAAAGGAACCAGGCTTCTCACTTGCTCTGTTTCTATCTTAACATTTTGTTTGAGAGGTGGTCACAAGCTGCTGATGGTTTTATTGTTGTACTGTTTAATGTACTGGATAAATACAGTATATACCATATTTCCTCAAAATGATCTTTGTCTCTCATGTTTTCAGAGCTTTAAGTTGCATTCCTAACTTTAGCATGAGTACCATGTTCCATATCCTTTCCAATCAAGTTTTCAGTGTCAAATTAAGAACTGACTGTTGCACTTTCTTCTTGATTTGATGTTTCATGCAGATGTGACACCCCCAGTTCTTCCTCTTCCTCAGATTCCTCTGTTTCCACAGTCTCGGCCAATAAATCAGAGGGCTGACATAAAACCTTTGCCTGAATCTGGGGCAGTCTGGATGCTAGCCTGTGAACCAATGCAAGAGTCAAGCTGTGCCAAGTTCAGAAGCCTTGAGTGTTCCATTACCATACCGGATTCTAAAGCATCCCTGCCTTATTCTGAATCAGGCCAGGACTCCACAGCAGTAAGAACCACTGAGGTGCTTGGGCCAGTCCTGACACAAAGACTGAGAGCAGCCACCACAAAGGCCTTTTCTAGAGTTCCCAGCAAATGTCCTTCAGATGTTGGCAGGACACAATAAAGAGCAACTCCTGAGGAACATAAAACTATTCAGCTTGTTAGGGAAAAATACAGAAGTGTAGATAAAATGGTCCCATGTTGAGTAGGCTTTCTAAAATCATAACCAGCACTTTGAATTGTGAGCAGAAATAGACCTGTAGCCAGTGAAGCTGTTGTAGTCTCATGTTCTGTATAAATGGGTCTAGTCATCCATCTGGCTGCAGTATTGTAAACTAGTGAAAGTTTCTGCTTTTCAAAGACAGACCCATTTACAGTGTGCTCCCAGTAGCCCAAACAAGATGTCACCATAGCCAGATCTGACATATTCATGCCATGCAAGAGTGTGCTTGGCCACTTCCGAAAGCTGGATATTCAGCTAGGGCTGGATCCAGAGACAAGCACAGTCTGAAATAATGAGCTAAGGTCCTACATTTGTCAGTTATTAAGATTATTTAAGTCTGAACCCAGATTGGTCTGTTTTCTTGAGCATAATTTTGACTGTACCAAAAAGAACTCTATGAACATTTGTGTTCATTTTCCAAAACTTCTTGCAAAAATATATTTGCTTAAATTTGTTTAAATTTCAGTTTTTCTTTGTGACATCATCATATAGCCAGGCAGGATTGGCTATGTAAAGTTATGACATCCACACATTCACTACCTGATTGCTCATTAGGTGGCATAACCAATGTGACTAAACCAGGAAAAAGAAAGAAAAGAAAGAATCTCCCAAGCAATAAATTGACATTAAAGGAGCAGCAGGAGCAGCTGCAGACAGAAGGAGGTAGTATGAATGAGATTGAAAAAGGTCAATATTCACACAATGTAAGCAGTTTTCAGGAGAAATTTCCATCCCACTGAAATGGCTAGTTTAGAAAAGCAAAGTCTAAATATCTGATGACAGGGCTACTTTTTAAAAGCATTCTTGTTGCAGTATAATAAAATTATTCTGACAAAACTGCATATTTTCAGAGTGGCTGAAAATATATTGAAAGAACAATGATACCATCAAATGATCCTATCAGATATTAATTTTAGGTTTATTATGTACTATACTTGCAACACTTGAGCATTGTGAAAATCTAATCCAACTGAAGCACAACACTGTGCTTCCCTGTGTTATCTGTTCTTAGAAAGGACTTTCCTGCTGAAGATTTTGCAAAATATAAAGTCAACATTTTAAGCTTTGTCACACAGAGATGCTTAGCACAGTTTTGCAATTATCTAGAAAGAGAGCTCTGAGCTAGTGAAAAGAGACATTATACCTACCACATTATACCTGCCAAAAAGAACAGGAATCTTACATGATGCATTTGATTTCAACAGTATTTTAAAGAAAAGAAGCAATAAGTGTATATGTTGACAGAGTACCAGAGGGAACAATCCTATACAGCATATGCGGGGCCATAGGGTATTTAAGATTCCCAAATACAAGCAGTCATAGTGTTCCACTCCGCCTTGCCTTAAGAGCCAGCATGAAAAGAACTACACAGGCTGTTTTCTGAAGTTGGAAAAGCAACCCTGCTGAAGAATAAAGGGGAGGTTGATGTGGGAGGGCAGAAAGTGACTAGAGAGGCCAAAATACAAGTTATGCAATGCCTCTCTAGCCTGCTCCCCTCCCCCAACAAAATGCTCCAGCTGGGTGATCAAAAAAGTCTATTTAGCAAAAAGGCAGGGTGGGAAGCGGAGATTGTCCCTACTGCTCTTTTTGTGCTGCACTGGATGAGCATTATTTTCCACACTTGGAGACTTGAAGGCATTACCATAGTATTGTGCCTTAAATTGTTTAGTGAATCAAAATATAATATATACACTGTTGTTTTAAGCATGTTTACATTGATAGCTATTCCAGTGAAATCAGTGAAAAACATAACCAATGCACAGAACACATTTGGGATGTGAAGGATGTTTGTTGCATTTTAGGATAGAGGTAATCTTGTGTTTAGGACAATCTTAGGAGTCAGTACAGCTCACAGAATTATGTAAAAACACACACTACAGTTTTCATCCTGAAACTAAGAACATTTGGCCCCATAAGTCCACATGGATAGGTCTTTGCCTCCGAAATGTTTCAGGTAAAGGCTAGACAACCATCTGTAGGGGAAGCTCTGGTTCTAGGTTTCATGCATCAAGCAGGAGGTTGGACTACATTGCCTATAATGCCGCCTCCTATCTACTAAAATAGATGCAAAGTTCCAAGCCAAGCAGAATTCTGATATCTCTTAGAGTGCAACTCTATGCAGGTTTTTATAGAAAGTACTGCAACCCCAGCATAACCCCACTGAGAATTTTACATCTTTATTCTGTCTAAACCAGCACAGGATTGTAAGTGTCAGGATTAAGGAGGGAGAAGGACTCCGGGCCTAAGCAGGAGATTAGGATCCTCAGTGCTTGTGAACAATGCTGCTGAACTTATCCTCCTTTTATTTCCAGTTATGCTGCTGTAAATAGAATCCAATTCCACATTATGTAGAATATAAAAGAGAAGAATGGAAGCAAAAGATGACAAGTCAGCTGACCTGCTACCTGTTGTCACACTGCAATCTCTCTAGCATCTCACTGGTTAGCAAGTAGATTGATACTCCATTCTATCTCCCTGTAGTCTAGTGAGCTACATATATTTCTAAGCTAGTTAATGCTTTCTTTCTTTAAGGACTTCAAACAGACTTGAGGAAATTTACAGAAATGCACTGTGCAGATATAAGCAATTCTGGTTAGGACAGGCAAGGAATAAAGAGAAAAGGAGTCATTTCCCCAGAAATGTAATGTAGCAGCTGTTGATTAATGTAATAGACCTATTACACTAACCACAATCTAAGGATACAAGGGAAATAAAATGCTGTATCCAGTGCAAACCAAAAAGGATAAGAATTTAATTACCAGCTTTCAAGTATATGTTGATTATTCTATCATTGGGTTTTTATATTCTTCAAATTAAATGTATTTGGTAAACTGGAACGTGCCATTATGGTGGTATAGCAAATAATACACACAATTATTCTTAGAGTATACTTATTGGAAATCCAATAATAGCTTACATACCAGCACAGTAATAATGTTTTTAATGCCTAAAGTATTTTTAAATGGCCCTGACAGAAAAGGGAAAAATCTGTACAAACTATATCCCATATATGAAGTTGAATTTATCTCAATTGTTCTTCTTTTGTGCCTCCTAAACTAAAATAATTCCATACTCACACAGCATTCATGATATCAATGGCTTCTTCCTGAGACTCAAGTATACAGTCTTTCCTAGTCATATTTGTGAATTTATACTTCATAATCTACAAAAGAAAACAAAGCAGCAGGAACCTTTTTATTACAGTCAAGTGTTTCATCTGTTGGCTATTTACTGTGTGCTACAGTTACATCTGGCACTGTAAATCCTATATTGATTGGGGGGCTGGATTACAGCCTGTTTAGCAGTCTTGGAATAAGAAGAAAGGTCCTTTTACAGATCAATAAGTAGTTAAAGAACAGAAAAGCAGAAAGTAGGATTAAACGGCAAATTCTCACAATGGAGTGATATAAACACTGGGGTTCCATCGGTCTATACTGAGACCAGCACTTTTCAACTTATTTATATATGAACTGGAAGTAGAAGTGAAGAGTGAAGTAGCCAGGTTTGCTGATGTCACCAAATGGTTAAACAGAAAAGAACTGTGAAGAGCTGCAAAGGGACCTCTCCATACAGAATGGGCATCAGAATGGCAAATGCACTTCAATGCAAAAGAAGTGTGAAGCAATGAACATTGGCCAGAAAATCTGAACTTCAAATATAAATGGGTACAGCCTGGAATAGTGGTGATCCAGAAAGAGATATTGGGGTTGCAGTGGACAGCTCAATGAAAATGATTGCTGTGAAAAAGGCAAACTATATATTAAACCTATATGAAAAATGGAAAAAGTGGCCAATATCATAGCGTTTTCACAAAAATCTATGGTGCAATCACACTTGGAATATCAGATGACAGTTCTGGTTATCTCATCTAAAAAAAGATATTTGTACAGTTGGAAAAAGTGTAGAAAAGACGAGTAAAATTATTAAGGGGCATGTTTCCTCAAAGTATGTGTACTACAACATCTGGGACTACTGTTTAGCTTAGGAAAAAACATGAGTAAGAAGCGACAAGACAGAGATCTATAAAAGTATTCATGGTGTAAAGAAAGCATTTTTATCTCCCTCTCATGATTCTAGAACTTGGGGTAATGAAGCTGATTGGTGTGAGATTTAGAACGAATAAAAGGAAGTACTTTTCATACACAGCATAAATTATGGAATTCTATCCCCAAGTTATAGTGATGGGTATCAATTTGGATGACTTAAAAGGGCCTTGGAGAAATCAATGGAGTAAAAGTGTACAGATGGCTACTGGTCCAGAATAAAAAACAGTATGTTTACATACACCAGCTACAGAGAAACACAGCTTGGTGGGTGTTGTTACATTCATGTCCTACTTGTGGGTTTGCTCTGGGCAGCTGGTTGGATACTGTGTAAACCAAAAACTGGACTAGATAGACCCTTGGTCTGATCACTCAAGATTCTTTCAGTGCTAAGAGTCTATTCTGTGATTGACCAACTTGACTCAAACAACCTTAAAAGAGTCAAATAGAACCACAGATCTGGAATGGACCTTGGTTTCTCAGAAGTAGGGACAAACAGCCTTTGCTCTTATCCACCATTTAATGATTATTGCTGATGTTGTCATCGTCTATATATTGCCTTATCTGCTAGAAAGATTATGCAATAATTTAAAACAGTAAATCCTGTAACAATAAAAGAAGCCTAGTAAAACAGTTAAAATCTACTTAATAACAGGACAGGTGGTCTCTTCCCCACTCCAATCTATCTCACACAGAAGTTTAAACACAATTGGTTGGCTAGAAATCCCCTTGATTTCAAAGATACTTTTGAATAAGGATCCTTATGAATATAGCTTTGGTTTTTATAGGATTAATTATTTTCAATATACTTCCCTTTTTCTCAATGCATGTTTTCAAGTATACAGGTTTGCCTAATTAGATCTATTGCTGTTTCTTTCTTTTTTTCAGATACCTGTAACTGATGATCAATATATGGAACATGTAAAATCTCTGCAGCTGATGGCCTCAGTGAAGGGTCCTTGCTCAGCATGCTGAAATCATAATGACAGAAAATTAATTACTTCTTATATTAATTCAATCCATGGAGGGTAAAACCAGTAATGGACAAAAAGCAAATGAACTACTCACCTGTGCAGCAGTGCATCTAGTTCTCTTGCATAGGTATCTGGAAGAGAGGGGGTTTCACTTTCCACAATTTTTAGAACAACAGATAAAAAATTGTGACCAGCAAACACATGATCCAAACAGCACATCTCATACAAAATGCATCCAAGGGACCTGGAGGAAAAAATTAGTGTAATTCAAGCACCAAGAAAATATCCCAGTTCACTGACTTGGGTTCACATAATTTCTGTGACTTTCCATGACTTATTTAAGCTATGATGAACCGCAGCACCCACTGACTCCTTCCTAAATATTCAAGAGGCCACCATATCTTGTGCTACCCAGAAACAGCCTTCAAAGAAACCATGGCCAGGTTTAGGGTTATGTGAGGATTTTCTAACCCATGCATAACTCACAATCTTCACATTGATTGTCATAACTCACACAATGACAAACTGCACTCATTAACTGCTTATTCAAAATGACCACCTGCATATACCACAATTCATTGTGATTTAAATGTGCCACAGAGTGCTGCCTGATCATGCAAACCAGGACTGCTTAGAATGTTGTTGTCCCCGATACCAAAGATAAGAAACTACAACTCCCTTTCAATACATTATTGTTATATTGCATTTCTATCCCATCATTCTTCCTGCTCCAAGGAACCCAAGGCAGCTTCCAGATGTATCATCTAAATTACAGAATCATCCAGTGTTTCCAAAGCATCTGTAATGTGTAATACATACATACTTACATATGTACTATTTAGCATTATAGTACTATATATAAGTACTATAAGTAATATATAAGTACTGAGGTTATGAAATTCTGTATTTGTGTGGAGGGCAGACGTGTGCTGGACCTGCCACATCCGCATAAAAGACAACCTTCTACTTTCCTCCCTAGAATCCAGCTCTGAAGAAAACAGTTCTGCAAGTTTGTAGCCAGAGTAAACTGTACAGAGCTTCATTTGACTAACTCTTGTGCTATCACAAGGCTATTTCCCACTCCCTATCCCCAAAGTAGGTTTTAAAATAAAGACAACCCAATGAAGACTGAACACGCTTAATGGCCACAGAGTTCTGAATGTCCTTCTGGGAAAAATATGTGTGCAATAGATATTCTGCCCTAGCGCTTGACTGACAAGTTGGCTGGAACACTGAACAAGGATATCCTCACTACAACATTTTGTTGCTGACCCCACAGATTTCATGTCCTGCTTTCTAACCAAGGCTTAAATCACATTTTCTCAGTTTGAATGTCAGGGAAAACAAACCAGCACATGAATGCCAAAACACATGAATTACAAGAGGAGGGGAGTGGCAAAGCACAAGCCAGGGTAGAGATTGTTAGCAGGCAACTATTTCTACTAAATTTCAAATTACCAGATCTCCAAGAAGTGAAGCCTATGACCTTGACAAGATACATTTTGCAGTATTCCAGGGATATAGCAGCATATTGGTTCAAATAATTGCATTTTTTCAAAGAAAGCAAAGATAAAGTACATCACATAAACAGAAAGTGACCTAGAAACACCTCCCTCCCTCCCTCCCTCCCTCCCTGTGTGTGTGTGTGTGTGTGTGAGAGAGAGAGAGAGAGAGAGAGAGAGAGAGAGAGAGAGAGAGAGAGAGAGAGAGGAGAGCATTGTTATTAAATGAATAATACATTGGATACAGAATGCTGCCTACTCACCAAATGTCTGATTTTGTGTTGTAACCCTGGTGCTGCAGTGCCTCTGGGCTCATGTAGAAAGGGGTCCCAGTAAAAGTAGTTGCTAAATCACAAGATCCCATCAAGAGACGAGAAACTCCAAAGTCCCCTTGAAAAATATTTGGAAATACGGTTACTTGAAGGAAAAATGCCTGATCAAACAAGAAAGGGAAACAAAGCTTGAAGTAATTCTTTTGATGATTCCTGACTAGTAACTATGTTAGACTGCTGCAGCAAAAACATATGAGTCTTGTGAAACCTTAAAGACTATCCATATATTGCAGCATAGGCTTTTATGGACTAAGTGGGCTTATACCATAATAAACATGTTAGCCTTTAAAATGCTACAAGATGCTTTGTTGTTGGCACCATTTTTTTCATAAATTTTATTCACCTGTGTAGTTCAAACAGTTATTGATTAGCATATTTCCCATGATAACACACTCACAAACTGAGCATCACCAGCATGATTTCTTGAATATGTTTGTCTGGCCCTTCTGAGCGCTGAATAACCTTAATCATGATGCTTACCTAAGTGTAAAAGAAGATTTCACAAAGGAATACTTGCCAACTGCATTTGCCTGCTTAGTTTATGTAAACTGAGAACATAGCTTTGGTCAGATTTTTTAAAGGAGAAATTAATTTATGCATTTTTAAAACTGAAATGGGAAGAGAAATTAATAGCACAGGCCAAGTCTGAGGATGCACATTCTGGGGCAGGGAGACACCATGATCTTTGTGGACTTCAGAAATACAGTACTGTATTTATTTGAGAAAAAATACAAAGATTTATACCGAACTAATTTATGCTGAAAGATACACTAGTTAATCTCCTATAAGAACAGATCAGCTTTAACGCAAATCTGAAATTAAATTTTGGAAAAAAAAGTAATGATTCAGCAAACTTTGCAATTATTTCTAAAACTTTACTCTTTAAAGAATATTTTGAGGCAGTATCACTAGGGTTGTATTGATTATCTTAGTTCTTCTGAGCTTTGCTGATTGATTGGGTCTTAGAATCACAGAATGATAGAATAGTAGAGTTGGAAGTGACCATTGGGTCCAGCCACCTGCTCAGTGCAGAACTCTACATTGAACCATCCCTCTTAGATAGCTGTTCTTGTTCCACTGTTTGCTAATTGGAATCAAAATGATCAAAGAATGCACAAGGATTTAATTCCTCTTTTCAATGCTCATTTGCACAATTCCTGCCCCTCTTAAGCAAAAAAGAGGTCTGCAAATCCTTTTTTAAATTGTGTTAAATTCTTTTCATTTCATCCTAGGTTTCTAAATGTCTTAAATCCAACAAAATGCATACAGTGGTAATGATGAAATAGTTTGTATATGGAAAATTTAAACAGAAGTTTTGAAAGAAAGTTTGGAAGGGAAAGAAATTTTGCATGAGCTTTTTCTCAGTTGTATATGTTTTCATCTCTACATTGTGAACAAAACATACTCTGCTGGGCTGAAATATAGAAAAAAAAAATCACAGGAAGCTGCCTTATTCCAGATTAGACCATTTGTTGATCTAGTACAGTTTTGCTTCTTATGAAAAGCAGTGGATGTCCATGGTTAAATTAGCCATTCACATGAAAGAACCACAAGTAAAAAGCAGCTTCCTGCCACAAAAATATGTAAAAATTAAGTATCAATGTTTGCTTTCAATGAACACACAGAGCTATAAGTACTTCATGAGCAGTTGTTTTCCTGGGCCTTATGAATCTATTTATGTGCAAACTTATGCAACTATGGCTCCCGGATAGGATCCATGAGGATTCAATTTCACATTCATCTCTTAATGTGTATCTGCATCCAACACCCAAACCACCACTGATAGCATTAATGCACTGTTATAAGCAGATATCTCTAGAATGAGAGTGGTTTTAAACACTTCAGAATATCAAAATCTTAACTTACATTAAGATTTGCTATTTTAAAGTTAAGTACCAGTATTTTAAAATACTGTGAAGTCCATTTTTAAATTAAAAAGGTGCACAAGTGAGGAGATGACAATTCCCCCTTCCACCCATGATATTTTTCTTCTTAGCCAAGCTCTGATACCAGACATTTGCTTGTGGAGAGGGAATGCAAGGAGTTAAGCTGTGGGTGGTGGGAGTAGTATCCTGTGCACAAGGCTGGCACTGGCATCTAGGATACTCAAACAGTTAGTAGGACCTCATTTCAATGTGGCCCTCCACTGACTTCAATACTGGAACTTCTTTTGCTGGGACTCCAGTGGACAGTTTAGTGCCTCTATTTAATGTAAATTTCCAAAAGATCTTGCAGTGTTTCTCGTGTAACATAAATCCTGGATATTGTATAGGGGAATTTTTAGAGAAATAAAATCCTGGGGCCAGGGAACTTACCAATTTTAACCAGGTTATTTTTCAAAAAAATATTCTTAGCCTTCAAATCTCTGTGAAGTATTCTCCTGAAATAGTTAAAAAGCTTTATTTTAGTGAAGTAAAAGTGTTAGTAGCAATTAATTATTCTGACAAGCATGTTTATTACTCTTATGAAGCTTATACCTTTCTCCAAAACACTGAACTTGGAAGTGAGTCCTACTGATTTTTGATTGCAATTTTAAACACATTTACTACTTGGTACTAGTTAGGTCGGTTGATGTCCAGTTATTGAACACCAATGGATAGATTCAGGCCTCGTATTTCAAGTTTCAGACTGATTTCTAAATAAAGGTACACAGAACTGAAGATGGTATTTCAATAATGGCCACCAGAAATCCACACAAGAATGGTTTCCCCTTGCAGTTCTCATTCAAAATAAACCACAGACTCTATTAGAAACGTTATCTGTCTGACAGTGGGGGCTGCTTCTGTGTAAGCTAAATACCTCCATATTCTTTTAGCATGTGCATTACTAACCTGATGGCTCACTCCCAGTTATCACAGTCTAGTAACTGGAATTAATCACAACAGAACAGTGATCCTGTACTAGCACGACTCTGTTGCATACTCTGGAAACAGGGCAGCTCTGTGGGCCCAATTAACAAGAACTGGAATTTGCTACAAGCCTGAAAAGCCAAATATTTCTGACAGGGACACCAACTTCTGAGGTCGAAAGTACTGGTTCAGTGAAGTGTATCATGGGGTGCAGTCAAGAATAATCAGGACAAGAAGCAAAACGTTGGAGACATTGAAAAATTCTCCCACTCAGGGGGTAAGGGGAAGGTAATTAACCTTTTCCTAAAGGGCAATTGTTTCTCTATTAAAAATATCTGCTCATTCTCCCATGTGCAGGGGAATAGATACAGTTCTGTTGGGGGAGGCAGGAAGCAGGTAAGCAGTGATTTTGACCAGAAAACGCCCCCCCCATCAAATTCTTAACCCTCCATGACTGCATTTCAGTCATACACACCTCTAAAGACACCACAGATGTGCCTCATTTGAGGAATGACCCAGAAATATCTGAATGAGAAGGGCTAGAATAAAGTCAGAATCTGGCATATCAGGTTCAGTCAAGGTAGACCTTGGCAGACAAAAGGTAGAATTAGTGCAGGACACCACTGAATCTGGGCTCTGCCCAGCAGAATCTGCAGTTTACTTGGCTTTTCAGATGCTAATATCAATCACCTGACTGCCAAAGTTTTATTGGTTAGATTAATTTGCAACCATAAGAATCTGAGACTATCAACCTCTTTAAGCATTTTGATACCCAGTGTTTTAATACCAATGCATGGATTTGGACATGCTATATCTACTTTCATAATATATTTTTCCCCCTTCAAACTCTTTTCAACACTTTCTGGTATGTCACCAATCCCATCTGCCTGCCTCCAAGAACCACTGCCATATATAACTCCACGCTTAAGAATCTATTCATTGATCCTTGATCTTTCAAACCAGCAACTAGCATTAAGGACTCATAGGACAGAAAATCTTTTCACTGGAATAATACAGGAGTTCCTTTCTCAGCACTGTGTGCTTGTGCTAAATAAATAAATGCTCCTCTGAGGTAAGCTGGCAACTGAAGTAGAATATATTGCTGTGGAAAGGTCTCTTGCTATGAAAATACTTTTAGCTCCCTAGAGCAAGAAGTTCAGCGAGGTGAGCTTCTCCCACCTTTCTCTCTAAACAAAGGGAAGGCACACAGTATAAACTGTGCTTGGCTTTCAGCAGCCCAGTTACATCAAAACCAGCTGGACTGAAGGGAATTCATGCATAAAAGGGAAGGGCATAAACAATCTCAATCTGAATATTTACATCCTAGTTCAGATGTAGTTCTCAACCAGGCCTGTAAGCCCATTTCTAGCTCTTTATTTTGCTTTGTAAAACATTCAGATACTATCATTGTCCATTCAATTATTTATTCTGCCCAGTACATAGTTTATACTTCTCAGCAATCCATGGTAGTCTTGGGTCCTCTCGTACAGAGAACAGTCTTCTGTTTGAAGGACTGCCAGGTGACTGTCATCTATTTTGTTAGGGTCCTCCATTTGAAGGGTTATCAGTACAGTTTAAAGATAAAGAACCAGCAGAAGGAAGAGCTGGCCCTTCTAGTTACCCATCAAAAGCACTTGGATAACAGAATGAATAAGGTGTACAGGTCTCTAAGTTACAGTCTTCCACACTATGGTGTACTTTCCCCCCTTTAAATTACAGTAATTATTTCCAACTTTTCACCTGTAAAATATTGGGGGGGGGGAATTGATGGCTTCTTTTGATGCAGTTCCTCTTTGTTAGAGATTCATGAATGGCCATTCTAGACACCTCCCAGGTTATAGGGTTCAAGTATTTAGGGCTAGCACCTTGGGCTGTATTGGTAATAGCCCAATAAAAAGTATTAAGTTTTCTCTAATACCACCAATGTACCAAGAAATCAAAAACTATATGATGCTCACAATAAAGGTTGATGAAATAAGAAAATGAATATGTAAAACAAACCGTCAAGTCAGTAACATGTGACAGCAGTAATAACAACGGTCACTTCTGAAACTATAAAGAGGTTTCTTGAAACATTCCTTTCATTGCTAAAGAATTAGACCTGTTTTTGTATGAAACCTATCAAAAGAGGTCTTTTCAAATAATCCTTAGAGATTTATGCAAGGTTTGTTCCTTTTATGCAAGACTGACAGTATGGTAAAAATTTCTGCTAAAGCCCCTGGGCATTTCCAACCTTTTGGGCTAGATATTCTTGACCAAAGTTTTTTAGCTAAATGAAAAATGGTGGGGGAGGATAAGAAATGACTCTGCCCATTGCTTTTCCAGCAATCAAACAAAACAAAAGAAAAACAACTGAGCCAGACAGCTTTTGTTATTTTCTGGTTGGCTGGTAACTCCTATTTGATTCTTTTTTTTCTTTTTTTTTTTGCTTTAGCTCTGGGAACAATGATGCATTGGAACACTTGTTACATCCATGAAAGCATTGTACTTCAGAAATTTAAAAAGGTGGTCTGTACAAGCCCCAATTATACTTGCCCAGCCTAATATTAGTGCTGCACTATGAAAAGATGGAATTTTTCCATTTGAAAAATAAAAGTTACACAAACATTCACAATATGGTTACCAGGATCTTAGGAAAGACACTAAAAACTTACTGCCTGGATTTGCCTTACTGCTTTTTTATTTATTATTTATTAAAACATTTCTATGCCGCCCCATTCGCCGAAGCCTCGGGGCGGCTCACAACACAAATTAAAATACAAGAGATAACAATATAAAATAAGTTTTTTACATTATCACCTTTTCTGAAATAATAATACATTGCATAAGATTTCAAAGGCCAAACTTTGAAAATATGTTTTAAAAATGGCATTCCCATTCATCAGATTATTAACTGTCCTAATCAAGGTGGCAGAATGAAATTTTGTATCAGAGAAAGATAAAGATTCCTCAGCAAGTTTTAATTTTCCCTTTATTATTAGCAACTGAGTGGTGAAAAATTATCTCAGGTTTACAACTGTATCAAATCAAATTACTGTACCTTTCATGCATGTAGTTGACTCCAAGTAACAACTGTATAAACCATTCTATTATTTGGCTTTCAGAAAATGTGTTGCCAGTAGCTTTATACTCTTGAATTTTAAAGTCAAGGTCTCGACCCTGAAACACAGAAGCAGATTAATATTTGGACAGCTTTACATCTTAATTGAAGGTAATTGGAGAAACCCCCTATTGATATGAAGAGAGTCAAGATTTCTCTATTTATCTTTGTCAGTGAATACTAATACATATTTACATAAATATACACCGTGGATATGTTATACTATTCAAAATACAATGGGAATGATCCAGACTTAGCAGAATGTAAAGTGCAGTCTTAATTCCTACAGATAGCACTCTAAGAGGGCTTAGGATGGGGTAGAATTGCCCCTCCACTGGTGGAGAAGAGCTCTGCCACTGTGCTTGTTATGGTCAGGCATAAATCTACAACTGGTGGTAGATCCTGAGACTGGACACTCCAGAAACTGGGCAGGGTACAGGCATCCTCTATTCCTGCAAGGCCACAGGACCAGGAAATCCCAGTCTGCATTTACATTCAGACAGTGTGAGGCAAAAAATGCAAATGAGAGTAAATAAATCCATTTCTACCAAGCCACCCTGGACAGGGCAAACCAGAAGGGCTTTGAAAGTTCTTGACAGAAGGAATCTAGGTGGGCCCTGAGCATGCATTTTGGACTGGATGCAAGGTCTGACTCAAATTAGGCAGCTGTTTGGGGTAATATTATTAGGGAAAATCCTTACTGAGGATGATTAACTCATGACAAGAATGAGTAGGAGGGGAAGGGGGATGCAAACTTTAGCAATGGTTGGTCACCAGATGGCTGTAATGAAGCTGAGCTCTAGCTGAATAAATCAGCTGTGCAGCAGGACTCCAGCACCTTGCAACTGAGCACAGTTGCTAAAGGAAGGGTGGCCACTGTGTGTCAGTGAAGTTGCTTCCATCTCAGCCTTCTGAAAGCCTGCAGGGCATGGCTTGAAATGGCTCTCAAGTGAGAGCTAGAATGTGTTCAAAGTCACTAGATGAACAATGAATAAGTCACTAGTCCTTGGAAAAGTTCTTAGAATAAATGGGAACAGAAAGACAATAGCTGGGTTGAGACAACATGAAAATCCACACTCAAGGGTTGAGTAAAATTAAGTGTGGATTGTTATTTTGTGACTTATCATATTGACTTATCACGTTGTCTGAACTTAGCTGTGCTATAGTTTTTAACTATAAACAATTATGTATCATAATCCAACAACAAACTATGGCCATTTTCATGGGTTGTTCGTGGTTAACAAACCATGGTTTGTTAGTGTGGCTGTGTTTAAATAATATGATAACCTTTCAGTGTGGCTTATCATGTTGTCTAAACCCAGTCAATGTATGCTTCAGTTCAGGAATCCATCCAACCATGCCATCTCCTTTTTTTTTGCCTACTGATACCTCCCATTTATACAGAGATGCTGTCATTTTTACTGCATATGGATCCACACTTGAAGAGTGAGTTTGCTATTAGTGTATAGAAAGCTTTGCCCCAGAGATCCTGCATCACAATAACTTTTTCTCAGCAGGTTAGAAGAATAAGCAGTGAGCATTCTCCATTCATGATAACTGCTAAAAGCAGCAAACCTCAGACAATATTAAGACTTAAGAGACCAACATTTGTTTTCACTAATAAGAAAATCCTTTAACCTAGTTGATACGCTTAGAACCAGCTAGGCCTGATATAGTTATCCACATGTCTCTCCTGTTCATGCATAAAAGGGGGGAAGGTTCCTATTTACATGAAAATGGATGGGTGAGAAGGGGAGACTCCCTCCCTCCCAAAGTTAATGTCACTCTGCTCTTTTATATGTGCTAGGCTGGGACGCAAAGGCTTAAAGCACTAGAACTCTTTTCCGTGTAATGAACAGTCCTCACCACACATTTTATACATTAATGGACACATGAATCAAACAGATGCTGTTGCCTCATTAAATCTAGCTTGGCTGAGGTATCAGTCCATATAAACCTATACCAGTGGAGCTTCATGGACAAACTGGTGCATTTTCAGCAATGCAGAAGGGGCACCATTGCATTGCATTGCATTATACCTCTTCCATAGGCCTTTTCTATACAAGTTTAATTGGTGAGATATGGGGCTCAATTTTCATAATAAATGCATCAGCAAAATTCAGGTTGTCAAAAACTCCTCTCATATGTTCCTAGGTATTCAGAAACAATTGTGCTCAAAATATACAGAGATCATTATACAGCTGTATTCTGTCTAATACTACTAACATTTTAACATTCTGGGTTCGGCTGAAGTACAGAACCAGGAAAGCAAGGAACCTCCATTTCTTCTGTGTATATTTTTTTTTCCACTGAGGACAGTTGCAAGCACCTCTGGGCATTTTGTCACAAACCCATCAAAAAGCACACCACCAGACACTATTGCAAATCAATACAATTCTGTTCTTATACAATAGGGGTTTTCTCACCACTGTCACTCTTTTAAAGAACACTCACTTAGCAACCCCTGAAAAAATAACACAGAGGACTCACCTCACAGTATTCAGTAATAATGCAAAAACTCTCTCCTTCTACAAAGCTGGTATAAAATTTGACAATAGCTGGATGGTCTAGCCTGGACAACAACTTTGCTTCTAAGTTGGCTTCAACTGTTTCATTGGGCTTGAGGTTCCCCACAGAGATTTCTTTTAAAACTTTCCTGTTGTTAAAAAGGTAAAACATAATGTAGGTTGCTTTCATGCTGGCTCTTTTTTCTACAATTCTTTGTTCCCTTACTACTGACAAAAATTTGGTGGTTTCTGTGCATCACATTTCAGTGCTGTCCTTCAAACAAGTGTTTTTGCAGACCTGACTTCTTGTGATTTTTAGCAAAGAATGCAATTGCAGCACCAGCGTGTCCACTGAGAACAGGCAAACTGCTATGGAAGTTTTTCAGCACTCTTGAGCCTTTAAAGTTTCCTGTTCAGTGGCCCTGCCCATTTTATTGTTTTTGTATATTTTTCTTGGATGATTAGTGAAAATAACCACTTAACTGTCCTTTGATTTGCTTAATTGTTATTAAGTGATAATTTATATTTCTGTGGCAAAGATAAGGTGTTATCTCAGTTTTTTAGTTTCATTTTGAAGGAAGTAACTCAGTGATTGAGAAACAGAGAGCCAAACAACCAAGTCATGAAGCCAAGGAATGTGGAGGGGAGAAAAGGTAATGATGATTTGAAAGAAAGTGTGCTATTTCCTATCTCATCCTCCCAGTAGTTTTATGAGACAGGGGGTCATAGGGCAAGGTGAAGTGAGAGAGGGGTGAACTAGTGACCTAGTAGTTATAAGCATGCAGGCATAATAGGCTGATGAATATTAACTCACACACCTTGAATAGAAAATAGGCTAATTATAATACACATGCAATGTATGTAGATGTATGCAATGGGATGAGATGGGAAATATGTAGGTGGATGGAAAGCTTGTAAACCCCTAGTACCTCAGCCAATGAGGGAGAAGGGGAGGGCTGTGGCAGGCAAATTGAGGAGTAAAAGATTTGTGTGTTTGTATTTTGGAGAGATTCAGATAGAGTGGGTTCTCCCCGTATATTGCAATAAAGTGAGGGAGGAATTGCCTCACTCTGCTGGTAGTCTCAGATATTTAAACTGAACAGAAGTACTTTCACAGTTTTTTGCATAACAATTTTTAATGGCAAATTAGTTCTAAAAAAGGCATAAAAATGACAAGGCACTAAAGACTAGGAGTGGATGGATAGCATGTTTTAGGCTATGTCAATTTTGCATGTGTTTAGTTTTAAGTCTATTCCATTCTATTTCTACTTTAATCTGCAACTTCTTTAAAGGATTTGCATGAAATACATATTTTCTTTCAAATTCTTATTCTCATACATATTTCATTTCAAAATATGCATTTTAAACACATTTTGAGACATAATTTTAAGCTGGGAACTGCACTATGATACTCTGAGACACACAAGTTGCAGGGAATAACTAGGTTTAGATTTCTACATTAGTCTGGAAAAGGGGTTCATGTCAGTTTATATCCGAATTCCCTCTATTTCAGACAGCCCACTCCCCAGCAGCAGGAAGAGATGATCCTCCTCTCATCAGCATTCCAGGCCCTAAGCCAAAGAAAGGGCACTTTATCCTCCTCTCAACTTCCCCATCCCTAGGCAGCAGAACAGTAGGACCAACAAGATGGAAAATGCTTCTCTCCTGGCAGTTACCTCATTCCCATTGCTGTCCACACTGAAGGGTATAATGCTAAAGGCAACATAATAGCTTTCACACTGCAAAAGTGACACCAAGTTGATATCATTATTCCCCTGTGAGACCCCACAAGCTTAAATGACTAAACTAAATGATCATCAGCATGCTGAGATCCTCACCATTGGTACTTTCAACAGGAGAAATCCAGACATAAGAAATAACAATGAATATTTTCTCCATGTGTTTCTAGTGCTATTCCCCATGTACATGGGCCACAATCTGGAGAGATACTATAGAAATGCCTAGGGCATCCAGTGTGCTTTCGGACTTGTTATTTTCTTTTGGGACATCATATCATATTCCCATTCTCTGTCAAAAGCTTTCAAAGGTTTTTGAAATCACCCAAAGCTTATGAAATGCTTGCATATATATGCAATTATGTATTACTCAAAATTATATACAACTTTCTATAGAGGTATCAAAATGGTGAGCATAAAACAAAATGTCATCAAAACATTAAAAAAATAAAATAGCCCCATACAAAATTAATCAGCAATACAGCTACATATGTCGCTGTACCCTGCAAACCATAGAGGGCTGGGTCACACTTTAGAGAAGGCCTGTGGGAAAAGATGACTTTAGAAAGATTTCCAAACATCAGAACTGTGGGAGAAGGTTTAATGTCAACTGGTAAAACATTTGAGAGACAAGATTTCCATTTTGAGGAACGCACCCTCAAATATAATATGGTAGAAGCGTTTAGAGACTTCATGAAAGCAGAATGAATTAAACAAAAGTACTCCTATTGAGACAGGATCATAATAAAACTCAATGGCAACTTCAAAAATAAGTTTACAGTGTCATCCTATTGCCACTAGACAGCATCTAGATGGTCATACGATTATTCAGACTCCCAGCTCCAACCTTGAGAACTCATTCTGAGCTCAGAGAAGCCTCCCCACTTTGTAGCTTTTTTCAATACAACCATGCCTGCTGCTTTTCCCTGATTGGAAATGCAACTTCAGGGGTGTGAGTTAGTGTTCCGAAGGAGGGGATGGGAAGAAACAGACATGATCATGATACAAGGTATCCTCATGGTGCTTCAGCCTCCTTCCCTTGCTCTCCAAGGCTCAACACTTAGCTGAAATCAGCTAAGTGTTTTGCATAGTGAGAAAAGCATGGAAGCCAGCTTTGTCTCCATGGTCCTCTTGCCTTACATAAGATGCCCATAATCCTTCAAGTTGGAAGAGTTATGGGCAACCAGCTTCAACTGTGCTGTTATTATGATGATGCAGTTTATTATTATTAAATAATATTTTAATATGGAAGAGAAGATAAGCAATCAGGCAAGATTGTCGTTAGGCAGAAGTTTAATAAAGAAAAGTATGCTATCTGTATCAAATAATACATCTTCACATGCATTTTAATTGGGCAAACATCATAAAGCATAATCCTGGTTTATATCAGTACTAGCTGAATATATGAATACAATATCGAAAGGTGTTTTTTGGAAGATCAAGCTATACCTTTCTTGGTTTGAATAAATCAAAAGGTAAATTTCAGCTTGAATAGCTAAATAGCTGCTGTTCACAATGAGAATTCCAAAAAAGCGGGGAAATAGTCTGTTTTGGATCTTTTTATGTTATTTCTTCCCAAATATCATCCATCAGTTAGCTGGCAATAATGTGTGAATGTTTTGATATACATATAGCTTGCCTAAGACCCATCTGGAAATCTTGTACTAATACATGGAATCTGCTTGTCTACATTGCCACCAACTTGCTCAGTGCTATTAAAATAAGTAATATCTACTGCAATCTTCTCATCTTTGACTCGACACCATAACATTATTTCTTCCTGCTCACAGATCATGTCACTAAATTGTCAAGCAGAATGAGTCTTCTTTAAATATCACTTAATACAAGATCTTTATGCACCAAAGACAGCAATAAAAACCTGACATGCTAGGACAGCTTGTCACCTAACTCGCTCAGTGATTTGGATGCCACCATCACCTGTCAAACATTGTGACAAATATTTATCTTATTAAAATTCTGTCACTGGATAGCAAATCAAGAACCTGTACATTTATAAATTAGACACTGGTTTGCTGCCATACAATGGTAGTTCAATATCATCCTACCACTCATATTACCATTAACTGAAGAAACTTCTACAATACCATCAGATTTATTACTTATATACAGTACATGTAGTATAGAGATTAAAAAAACAGCAGTTGTAAAAAGAGAGTAATATACTTTTGCCAAAGTGTTACAGAAATTACCACAACTAATAGAATTCTAGAAGAAAATAGAAATGTTTCTGAGATTTACCCAGATTTTTTATTAAACATCACATCACTCGAGACTGCATTGAATTGGCCCCAGCTTTTCACAGTGAAAAACTCTGCTGAAAGCTATGGGCCAATCATTTATGACAAATCACATGCAGAGGAGGTGAGAGACAGGGCTGCTTCACACAGGCATGAACATTACTTGATTTCTCTGTATTTTTATATAGCACACTTGATTATTTGTAGCAGCAAAAATATTTTCTTAAGCAACATGTCTTTCAGCTTGATTTTGATGCAATATGAAAACACTATCTTTACTGTTAAATCTGTGATGGCTCATTCACACAAATAATTATACAAGTATAATTCACACCAGAGGTCCATCTCCTCCAGCATTCTGTTTCCCACAATGGCCTGCTAGATGCTTCTGCGAGGTCCACAAACATTATTTGGAAACATGCTGCACTGCCTCTGAAAAATTACCAGAACAAGTAGCTGCTGCTATCTTCCATTGATTTATATATCTGTATCTCCAACTCACCAATTTATAAACCAGTTTCAAGAAATGCAATTTATTTTATAGGGGACACGAGATCAGGGACTACTCGAGGCCATCTGCATGATGCCAGGTACTTTTTATTAGATAAACACAACATGGTCAAACAGTTCAACATTTTAAAGAGCAATTGCTTAGGGAACTGAAAGCGCTAATCCAATGTTTAGTGAATTACATATTTAAATATTCCATATTCATTTGGGAATCTGCTTGTTTATTTTCTGGCATTTCTTCATCTTCCCATTACAGAAACTGCATATTGTTGTCACAATAAGCTTCTACATATTCCATGCTTTTGCAAGGCTAAACTGGGGAGCACTTGACTACAAAATGTAAAATGTAAAGAACTGCAGAATGTACAATTGATGCGAAAGTGCCAGCATTGACAGACACAGAAGCTTTTGAAATATGCTGGAGGATATTCAGTAGACACAAAGAAAGAGTTGGTATTTTCTTAATATGCATGGCTGCTTACATGTAGCAGGTATTTTGTCCCAAAACTTGACAATTTATCACTGCATTGTGAGAGGTCAAATGGTTTTGCTAGCATCCAAAAAAAAAAAAAAACCCACTGTTGGTCAAGGTAGAAGAGGTAAGCTGATAAATGCATATGCTACATGAAAAACCATGTTTGTGCA